TTTTTTTTCAGGGGGGTGGGGGAATCTACCCCGCTCAGACGGCCCATGCAGGCTATCTGAAGGGTCCTCGCAGCCATGTCGCGCAGACCCCCCCACCAAAGTCAAGGCAGACAGTGAATATGGAGTAGAGCACGAGCTGGCCGAATATATACTCAAGGTTCGAATTCAAGTCTGTGTTTCAGCAGTTATGGGTTGCTCACTTAGCTAGGCCCTGTTGGTCTCTGCACGTGATTATCAGGGTTTGGCTGTACTACTCACCAAGTGTGCAAAACTAGAATGAATCTTTTGCAGAACATGGAATAATACGCCGCCATATATTTTGTCTTTTGTGCATGTGGTGAGTAGAGGCCCTCAGGGCCACTGCACGTATTCCTAGCTTCCTAAGAAAAGAAAAACGAGAAAAAAGAAAAAGAGAAAAAAAAAAAACCTAAAAAAAAGAAAAACGAGAATTTTTTCTCGTTTTTCTTTTCTTAGGAATACGTGCAGTGGCCCTAAGGGCCTCCACTCACCACAGGCAGAAAAGACAAAACATATGGAGGCGTATTGTTCCATGTTCTGCAGAAGATTCATTCTAGTTTTGCACATTTGGTGAGTAGTGCATCCAAGCCCTGAAAATCACGTGCAGATACCAATAGGGCCTAACTAAGTGAGCAACCCATAACTACTGAAACACAGACTTGAATTCGAACCCTGAGTATATATTCGGCCAGCTCGTGCTGTATTTCATATTCACTGCCTGCCCCGATGTTGGTGAAGGGTCTGCGCTACATGGCTGCGAGGACCCTTCAGATAGCCTGCATGGGTTGTGAACATAAAAAAAAAGGAGTGCATGTGTGTGTATGTGTAAATATCGTGTGTATATGTTCGGGTGGGGGTATTTCGTTTTTTTTTTTTTTTTTCTTCACTTTTTTATTTCCCGTAGTCCTCGATGCGCGCGCGCGCCCTGCGGGGTCGCGTTCAATTTTTTCGCGCTTGGTCGCGCACAGCGCGTTTGAACGCGATTGAACGCGGCCCCGGGGAGTATGAACGCGCGCGTTTGAACGTGAACGCGCGTTCGGCGCGTTCAGCCGGTTGCACAGACGGCAGACTAAACCCCATTTCAATAGGGAGTTTACAAAAAGTTCTGAAACACACATAGGATGATAGGAGAATTGGAATGTAATTGTTCAACGACGCAGCATTAATGCTGCGTCCAACCCTCATGACGACAAAAAAAAACGGCCCACATGTGGCCATCGCGGCGGGTCAAGCGTTATCCGGTCATCGTCGCCCACGTGCAAACATGTCCTCCACCGCCAATTTCTCTCTCTCTCTCTCTCTCTCTCTCTCTCTCTCTCTCTGGAAGGCGGGCTACCACCTGCTACACGCAGCCCTGAGGTCATCCTCCGAGCACCAAAACTGGACCGCCCCATGCAGGTAGCCTCTCTCCCGAAGTGGAGGCTCCATGTGCGCCACATAGCACGCGTTGTTGCTACTGGTCCCCACGTGCTCTTCGGCGATGGCGGAGACTAGATAGCGGACGATGTCCCCGACGACATCAGGGCACGGGCCAAGCCACGAGTCCGGCACAACATTCGACAACCTCTTCACGAACAAGACGACCTCCGCAAGGCTGCCATCCCGCTCGTACCCTAACCCGGCCACCATCCTCATCGCGAGGAGGCCATTAACAAGCGAGTAGTAAACGTGCGTGTGCTCGTTGATGACAATGGGTCCCCAATCCATGTTTCGATGGCGCCCCGTTCCCCATTCCAACCGGGTCTCCTGCACGACAACCTCTTTCCTGTCGACCACCTCCCTCACCACCGCAGATACGTCCGCCATCTCTCTCTCTCTCTCTCTCTCTCTCTCTCTCTCTCTCTCTCTCTCTCTCTCTCTCTCTCTCTCTCTCTCTCTCTCTCTCTGCCTTCGCATGCAAACCACTCCTCGTTTCTTGAGAACGGCGTCGTTGACTGAAGAACCCCCCACCAACGACTGCGCTGCCCAGCAAAGTCGCCACTGCCCACGTATATATACGCACACACCGGCTACCGATATATATAAATACAATGGTCAACATGGGCGTTGGCTGTCGTTTCCCTGTCCCGACATTCACGCCGGGTGTCCCATCCCTTGTTCGGTCACCATCAACCAGTGTGTTCCTATATATATATACATATATATATTCCTATATATATATATATATTCCTATATATATATATATTCCTATATCTATATCTATATATCTATATATATATATATATATATATATATATGAGTTGTAGCGCGTCGAGGGGTCTGTATCCGCCCTCTCGTATGCAACACTGTTCCCCCCACCTCCGCGCCTCACGAGAACCCCCACGAGCATCTCAAGGACAGTGTTCCCGCCACGCATGGCATCTGCCACATCACCGATCTTCGCCGCAATCGCCGAGCCTGCCTCTGACGTTGCCTTCGCCAGAGTGGCAGCGGCCTTATCCAAACCCTCGCCGTACGACCGTGTCGCGTCCTCCATCACCCTACCCAATGCTGGCCCACCGCTGATCGTGTTGTCCATCCTGGTTTTGCCGGTGTTCGCCCTCCGGGTCTTCGCTGCTTGGTCCGAATCCTCTGTTGCTTTGCCGTCGGAAGCGCTCCTCCCCAACGGCGGCTGTGCTGGACCGCCGCTCGTTGAATTCCCCCCCGCATTACCTGGCAAGTTCTCGGACGCCAGCGTCTTGTCACACTTGATGGATGGCCGATTGAGTTTCCACTCCATCGCTTCCCACAGAGCTTTCTCAAAGCCTAGTGGCACCTGCTCCGCCTTCCGCTCCTCAAGGGTCATGTCCCATTACGAAGGTTTCCCCGAAGCATTCTCACACTTGTCGAGAATCAACTTCGCTGCCGCCAGCATGCCCTGCCACTTCTTACGACAATCCTCCGCCGACCTGTGCGGAAACCCCTGCTCCGCCATCCGATCATGCACCCACTCATATCGGTCCTTACTCCTCTTGAACCGATGCTGCCCGTCGGCGTCGGCCATAAGGGTGTCATCCTCGGCCATCAATTTGGACAACGCGATCCTCTCATCCAAGGTCCAGGGGATGTTTTGCTTCTTGTTTTTCGCAGCACCATCTTTGCCCCCCCGCTTGTTTGCACGCTTGCTGCTTTGGGCCCAACCACATTCTCGGCCCCATCTCTCTGGCCAACAGTAGCACTGTCCCTATCCTCCTGCGCGTTGTCAGAGTTTTGCCCATCAATGTCACCGCCATCACCTTCAACTTCATCGTTGCCAACCAAGTCATCTTCCTCGCCACCAAAGGAACAACCTTGCAAGCCGGCAGGCGATGAAGTTGCACTGTGGACAGGCCACCCCGCATCCATATCCTCTCCTTGCACATCTGCCATCAAAGGTGAGGGCTCGGCAGCAGACCGCGTCACCGACATGGGCGAGGGAGCGGACAACCCGCCATGCATGGGCTGCGATGGTTGTCGGCACTGTGGGGACCACTGCCACTCGTCCCTCATCACTCCGCCCCTTTCCATAGTGTGCTGGGTGGGGTACACGTGCGGAGCAATGCCATATCCAACGCCGCCTAGGAACATGTGCGGAGAAGGCATGTCATACCCGCCTCCAACCTGTGTGCAAAACGACGTCTGGCCCGTGTGCACGGGGCCGCATGCAGACTTTCTGCAGTGGGTCGAACAACGAACCACCAACGTGCAGCTTCCGCATGATGGACAGATGGAGAGGGCACACGAGCAGGAGGCACTTGAATCGGCCCCGCACGCACAACCTTCTGCATCTGCCCGCTGAAGGACTGCATACTCGCTGGCGAAAGCGAGGAGTAGTGGACAGATCCTTGTTGTCGCATGTCCTAGGTTTGGAATCCCCCACCATTGCCTGCACAGGGATCTGTCGTGGACCGGTACGACTCCATTTGGCTGCGGAAGGTATATATACGGAGGCAACACCTGCAAACACGCAATGCACCCTCGAACAACAACGCTTCCCTGCTTATCTCCACCGATGACAGCACAAGTACGCGATCGCGCACCAGAAAACGATGGACAACACGAAAGTTGTGGAAAGGAGGATAGCGACGGCAAGCAGGCCTGCGATAACAGCCAAAGATGGTTTTTTTCGTCGCCCGCCCCCGCCGCAGTGGTTGTTTATGATAACATCCACACAACAACGACGATGGCAGCGGTCACATCCACACGGCAGACTATAGCGTTCGACAACCGACAGGTGGCGAGTGTGTGGATGAGGACTTATGACCACATCGTCATGTGCAGCCCATCCCTGCCCACATGTGTCGGGGTTGCTCTCCGACGAGGACAAACGACCGCCCTGCCGAGGCAGATGAAGAAGTGAGGATGGCAAGGGAGGCACACGACGGAGCACGGCATGTGCAATGGCGACCACACGGGAGGTCAGCATTGGACGACACGTGTGCGCGCGGGCAGGTAGTGAGAGCGTCGGGGCCGAACTGTGCGTTCTACAGACATTGCTCAGCACAACGCCAACAGCTTCGAAATGCAAGCCTCGGTCGGACAACGCCTGCCGACGCCACCCGAGATGGCCTCCCCGTAGGCAGGCCAGGGAACCTGAAAGCGCGAAGGAGATGAGCGATGGCATAACGCCGGTGAGAAACGACGGAGGGTTTAATGGACATGTCGACGGCGGCGACGTAAGGTTGTCACTGCCGATGCTTCTGCCACTGAACTCGCATGACATGAAGCGATTGCATGGCTGGCCTACGTCCTGAGTCCGCCAAAAAATTCGAATTTGAAATGTTGTGTCATGCCGTTCGCAAACCGAGGGTAGTATGGAGGCCCCAGACCCCCCCCAGGCCCCGGTGGGAACTGTGTGACGCAAGAAAATGAAGAGCATGTCCGCGCCAACGTACTGGTCCAGAAAACGGTCCACGGCGACTGTCCGTGGTTCGCGCCGTCTAGCCATTTTCTGGAAACTGTTTGACATGCCCCCCTCCCTACTCGTCTAGAGCCGTCCTTGGAAACTGTTTGGAAACTCGTCAGCATTGCATTTCCAGACCGCGAGCCGAGTCGAAACGCCCCGTCAGCTTTTCCACGACCTCTTTCCAACCGCAGTGGGGTCTGAAATTCCTTTCCGGGCCGACTTTCCACGACGGTTTCCAACACCTGTGGGGTCTGAAAAACACTTCCTCGCCAAAACTTTTCCACGCCGCCGGCTAGTGGGGTCCAAGCCTTAGCGAAGACAGTCAAGGTTGCAAAAATAGCGTTAAAAAAA